TTCTGAAAACTGGGTCCAGTAACAGATTGCAGCCATAGGGAGCTGCAGCAAACAAGGAACTGGTTCAAGGATACAGGCTGATACTCTGAATGTCTTGAAAAAAAATAGAAGGCGCTCTGCGATGGGTGTCTACAAATAAATGATAAAGCTTTCTTGAAAAATACTGTTTCCTAAGTAATTTTAATTTTAAACTTTTTATAATTTTATTCAGTGGATCTACAAATTCAAAGTGAGATTCTTTACAGAAATATTAATACTTGTATATGATTAGTTCTTCCACTTCGCTTATTTTGGGGAGTTGAGAAAATTATTAATAATAATAAACATTCTACCTTAGTAAATTACTCTCAATCCCTTCCCCCACCCCAAATATTGCTCTTTTATGTCATTCATATCCCATAAGGAATTCTGCTGCATTCTTCAGTTATCAGCAATAATTAAAGGGGACTTCTGAATAAATTTTGCAAATTTTGATAGATATCAATCACAAATTATTTTCAAAGTCACTGTTTCGATCTTCCCATTACTTCCTTTAAAAAATGTAAATATACTTATTTCTCAGGACAATAAAAGTCACAGAATAGATTCATTGGCATTTATGGAATGCTGGACTCCCATAAAGTTTTGGTACCAAAAAAATGGCAAAAATAATGTAGTGCAAAAACTGTTAAATATTTTTATTGAAAATTTTCATTTCTGTAATCTCCCCCAAAACAATTGTCTTTGTATACCCTATCTGCTGAACCACAGAGTTCTTCTCTCCGTATTCAATTCACTCTGTACTTCTGATTAAATGTATTGAGATCTACTTTAATAAAGCTTTAGTCTTTGATGTCCCACAATATTTTTTCTTTTTTATTGCAAAATACTATCACAGATATCTCTTTATAAATTTTGTGATAGAATTTCCTTTGCAGTCAAGGATTTATAAGAAAACTATTTAGAGAAATCCAGAAAACAAAGTTTTAATGGAAAGCCTTTCTCGCGGGTTACTGAAACATTCTTGATTATATCATTTATTTAATATATCCATTAATTACAGTACATGTCTCTTTTTAGAAGTCAGTGATAGAAATTTTTGCAAGAGCATTCCAAATTTTACACTAAGATATGTTCTGCAACCATGGCAAATATTTTTTCCTAGCTTCTTCAATGTAGAAGGGATTCTGAAAAGTTGTGTAATATATATGAAAAGCATAAATGTATATTATTTTGCTAGCCATAGATAGAAAAAAAGAATTGGAGTCAAGAGAACTGCTTGCTATCTCTCAGGGCATTAAGCATCAACATCATTAAATATCAGCAGGATTGTTCATGCTTTTCAATATGTATCTTCAGTTATAGAAGTCAAATCTAACTTTAAAAAATGATTTCAAAAGTGATAGTTATCAATCTGCCCAGTATGTTTCATATGTTTTCTGTATTGGAAATGTTTAAGTACATCATTTTGAGTATTTACCTCATTTAATGTAGCCAACTGACCATCTGGAAATTTCTGTGCCAATTCTGCTACACAAACAGATGATTTCTTGAGTGATTTTTGGAGTCTATCAAATTCATAGAAGACAGGAGGAAATGAAGTTGTTTGTTTGTTCAAAGAGGGACTAAGGGAACTTGGTGAAATGTTCAACAGTAACCAATAGATAGCTTGTCTAATTGGCAGAGCTATGGAATGAGCACTATTTCTCTGCATATTCTCCACCTGAACAGGAAGGATTGTTCTTCTTAATATAAGAGCATCACTAACAAATGGTGCTAGATGTCCTTTAATTAAGTGTGTTGCAATCCACTGTGGTAATTTTAATTTCTTCATTTCCTCAGATTCATACATACCACTCTGGAAAAAATCTTTGAGGTTGACATTAGATGGTTCATATTCTCCCATGAAAGAAGAGAGAAGCTGTCGTATGTCTTCTTTTTCATGCTTTTTAAAATACTTCAATACATTTTCCATTGCTTCAGAAAGATCAGCAAAATGAGATAACCAGTTCAGCAATCCCTGAATGCGGTCATGCTTTTTTCTCTTCTGCCGGGATTTCTCTATAGGAAGCTGTATTTTACTAAAGAACACTTCCATAGTTGGCAGATTTATGTAGTCATTGCCACTCATTACTGCAAATAGAGGCAGCAGGGTTTTGTTCATATTGCTAAAATGTCTACAAAATCTTTCTAATGAGAAACACCGTGTTGGGATGTAGCATTCTTTTGAGTCTATACATTTACAAAGATTTCTCCACTGAAAATAATTTAGAGGACAATAGCCTGATTGGAGGTCAAAAATGAAAAAATCACTATCTAAAGTTAACACAGGGCAACTCAAGTGATTGGCTAGAGATACAATATCCCTGTCTGCCTCTGAAAATGACTGTACAAAAGGCACTTGTAGTTCAGTTAGAATCTGCTTGAAGACCTCTCTGACAAGCAAAGGCAATACACTTCCACCACCACCATGAGAAAGTGAATGGGCCGCCTGGATCTTTTCCTGAGCTCGTTCCTTTAAAGTTGCAAATTTTTTATCAGATGCATCATTACCTCCATCCAGCACAACATATGGCTTTATGTGGCACACAGCCAATGACTGAAAAAACTGACATGTGATATCTGTAAAAGAATCATAATCCCCACCATGCCGGATATCCAGATTTGAATCAAAATAAAGACGATGATACAAATTATTTCCATCAATTATTACATCTGTGTTTCTCAGCTGCAGATCAACAAAGAACTCACTATGTTCTCCTACATAACTCATTAGGCCATGAATGCCCATTCTTATTAGCTGGAGTGCCCCTGTAAAAGAAAAAAAATATTTCAAAGAAAAAGCACAAGGTGTGAAATTAATTGGGCAACATTGATTAATTATTTGATACTGCAGTTAAAAGTATTTGAACACCATGAGAAAGCAATTGTATTAGTGACTAAAATTCACATGCATGATGGACTTGTTGCTGTAAGGATAAAGCCAACTGAAATGTATTCATTTGGAGTAACCTACTGAGCTTCAAAAAAATCACACTTCTAATTACATCAAAATGAGCCCAACAGAGTCAGAGTCCTTTCTGTTCCCATTACCACTGCAAAACTGTTTTGGCAACCATCTTTATGCAAAATTTCATGAGGCTATTAGGAAGCTAGGGCTTCAGGCTAGAAATAAAGATGCTTCCTCAAGCATGTTTAGCAGTGTCTGGGTTTGTGGCAATCCCAGATCTTCAGGACTTCCTGATTTCCCTAGTCATTCTCCTTTAACAGACATTTGGGTTTAACAGACACTCCTTCCCTTCATTAGATGTTAAACTGAGAGTTTATTGTATGTATCAATCACCAGAAAAAAAATACTTTGATCTAAAGCTCCTGGTACAAGCAATTTCCATGGCTTTTTATTCCATAAGCAAAATATTATGACATCAGTTTTTAGAATTACTTTGGGAAGCTAGTGTTGTCTACTGCCATATGCCATAAATAGTAGTTCCCATATTCTATTGTAGTAAGGTTAAATATAAACTCTTCATATCCCTCCTCTATTTACCCCACATTACATTTTACTTCATAAATTCATTGGAACAGAAACCTGTCTGCTTAGGCTGCCAAGTAGTCATATATGTGCTTCATGTTAAACTATAATGATGGAGAAATGCAATATAGACAGTCCTCAATTTAATGACTTAGATTATCTGCAACACTGCAGATTTTTTTTTTTTACTATTTAATTTTTACTTAAAGATATATCCATCCTTGTCCTTGGGGAAAAAAAACATATAGCAATCTCAAGGGAGCATCATCCAAAAGGAGCTCTGCTGGAAAAGTGGTTGAGGCCATTTTAATTGGAAGTGAGGAAGAATGATGCCTTACATTGTGAGCCAATTTGGCCTAGAAGTTAAGGTACCAGGTGAGAAAACAAAAGATCATAACTTCAAGTCCCACCTTAGCCATGACAGCCAGCTGAGTGATCTTGGATTAATCATTCTTTCTCAGCCCAATTCACCTCACAGAGTTGTGAGCAAAATAGGAAGAGGAAAATGTGTTGGATGTTTGCCATCTTGAGTTATGTGTATAAATAACAAAGGCAGAATATAAATTAATAAAATTCAGGTGCTACATATATACTAATCACAAACTTCCCGCCTTTGTAATATAGTCAAGTCTAGTTGATTCCAACACCACTCCACCCATGTTTTTTCACAGGTAGTTTCAGAAAAAGCATTTTGTTTAAATCATGATCCAATTTCCAAATGACTGAAAACACCTTCCCTACGCAATTGCCAGCACATCAAAATTTATTGCAGATTACAATTCTTAAAATAAATGCAACCTTTGATAAATCAGTGTTGTAAGCTTTTGATTCTTCAAGGAACTGAAATATATCTTTGTCTGTATGTCTGGGCTACATGCAATGGAAATAGCCAACCAAACCCTGAATGAACGCCGTCAACCCTTAGCTTTCTGACTTGCGGGCCTCTTTTAAAACAGACGGGTGAATAGAGGTTGAAAACAAAAGTGGAAATTAAGATTAAATGTAACTCTGAAGAAGCCCTTTGTTTAACACTAGAAATTAAGTCTTTCTTCTTGGTGTCCTTCCTTTAGGAAAGCCATCGCTTTTTGTCCGGATTCTCTTGTATTTTTACAGTACAACTCCATAACGGAGTGAAGTTTTGCAAATTGTTTTATTTGGCATAAACTTGGAATTCTGTTGAATTTCCAGCTGCCTAGTAAGTTTGCAAGCAAAGAAAACCTTGCAATTCTATTCCCAGCAACATCGGAAGCGTCCCTAACCCATGTTTCTAATTATACGTTTTGACCCAGTAGACATATTGAGCGCCGGATTACCGAACACTTTAATTCTAAAGACGCTGAGAGGCGAACGTCTGATGAGAACCGTGGTGGACGGACCCACCACTAACCTCCTGGACAACGTACCTCCGCATAAACCACTCTTGAGCTCTCGGCTTTTAGAATGGAGGAAGCGGCCGCACTACCTACGTCATCGGCAGTCTGTACAGTACCGTGTTGAGAAAGATGTGTGAACTTTAATTCCCAGAATTCCTCAGCCAGGATACGGAAGCATAGCTGCTCCCACCGCAGCGCGCCCTCACCTAGCAACAAAGCCTAAACACTGAAGAAGCGGAAGAAGGCGAACTTTATTGGGAGAAGAGAACAAGGCAGGTGTTGGTTGTGAGGAATGGGAGAGGGAAGCTACGCGAAGGATATAACCCTCATGTCCCCCTCAGTACGGTATGATGGACAAAGTAAATGAATTTACTTTGAATCCCATATTTTTCTGATCTGCGTATCCAAAGTGTTTTTATTTGCTATTTAGATATGTAGTGATTCTCGAGGACCCTAAATCATCCCGAATTTTTTTGTTCAATAGTTTTCTCTTCCATGGAAAGAGAAAATTGCTGGTATGGACAATTCACTTTCATTAGGATCCTCTTGTCTACCAGTATAAATGATACTGCAGTTTTAACAGAAGCAGCATAAAAAAAGCAATGAAAATCATGGAAAGATTACAGAAGGAAATTGATATTGTTTGGGTCTCCTGTCAGGTAACAAATGATAGCATCTAGATAAGTGAGATCAGACTTTTGTTACTGCTTGAATGGGAGACCATTAGGAAACTCCACAGCTTTAGGCTAAATTGGGAAGTAGAAAAAAAAATTCTGAAAGAAGGTCCAGGCAAACTTCTTCTGTATAATTGCCAAGAAAGCTACATGGATATATCCATATAGTCACTGGTAGTTGAACAAACAAGCCATCATTGCCATCCTTGAGGGAGGAGTCCTTCTCGCAACCATTGAAGGGAGCGGTCGTAAGCCCCTCCTCAAGAAGCCTTCCCTGGATCCAGCAGAATTAAAGAACTTTCGTCCAGTCTCCAACCTACCCTTTGTGGGAAAGGTTGTAGAGAAAGTGGTGGCACTTCAGCTCCTGCGGTCATTGGATGAAACTGATTATCTGGACCCTTTTCAGTCTGGCTTCAGGCCTGGCTACACCACGGAAACTGCTTTGGTCACACTGATGGATGAACTCTGGCGAGCCCGATATGGGGGTCACTCCTCCATCTTGGTGCTACTTGACCTCTCAGTGGCTTTTGATACCATTGACCATGGTATCCTTCTGGGACGACTAAGGGAGTTGGGAGTTGGGAGTGGGAGGCACCGTGTTACGGTGGTTCTCCTCCTATTTCTCTGGTCGGTCATAGTCAGTGTTGGTAAGAGGACAGAGGTCGACCCTAGGTCCCTCATTTGCAGGGTGCCCCAGGGCTCGGTCCTCTCTCCCCTCCTATTTAAGAGCTACATGAAGCTGCTGGGTGAGATCATCCGATGATACGGGATGAGATATCAACAGTATGCTGATGATACCCAGCTGTATATCTCTACCCCGCGTCAATTCAGTGATGCAGTGGATGTGATGTGCCGGTGCCTGGAGGCTGTGAAGGTCTGGATGGGAGTCAACAGGCTCAGACTTAACCCAGACAAGACCGAGTGGCTGTGGTTATTGCCTCCTAAAGACACTGTTGATTGTCCATCCTTGGTTCTGGGGCGGGGGGGAGGGAGAGAAATTGTCCCCCTCAGAACGGGCTCGCAATTTGGATATCCTCCTAGATTCACAGCTAAGATTAGAGCAACATCTGACAGCTGCGGCCAGGGGGACCTTTGCACAAGTTCGCCTGGTGCACCAATTGTGACTCTACTTGGATCGGGAGGCTTTCCTCACAGTCACTTATGCCCTTGTCACCTCATGGTTAGATTATTGCAACACGCTCTACATGGGGCTACCCTTGAAAAGTGTTCGGAGACTAGTTGGTCCAGAATGCAGCCGCGCAAGCTATCGTGGGTGCACCTAGATACACCCACATTACACCAATTCCCCGCGAGCTGCACTGGCTCCCTATTGGTCTCCGGACACAATTCAAGATGTTGGTTATTACCTTTAAAGCCCTACATGGCTCAGGGCCAGGTTATCTTCGAGACTGCCTTCTACCACATAGCTCCCAGTGATCGGTAAGATCCCACAGAGTTGCTCTCCTCTGGGTCCCATCAGCTAAACAATGCCGGCTGGTGGGCCCGCAGGGGAGGGCCTTCTCTGTGGCTGCCCCATCTCTCTGGAACCAGTTACCTTCTGAGGTCTGGACCACTCCCACCCTATTGGCCTTCCGAAAAGCGGTGAAGACCTGGCTTTTCCGGCAGGCCTGGGGCCGTTGATCTCGCTGTTGCAATCTTGTGAGATCCGGCCATGAATGGTGTGAATGGGTTTTAATGTTTTAATTTTTAAATGTTTTTATAATGATTTTTTAAAAATGCATTGTAAGCCGCCCTGAGTCTCTGGAGAAAGGCGGCATATAAATTGAACTAATAATAATAATCATAGAGACCTTGCTTTTTTAAAATAAAAATTCTTTGAATGAGAAAGCTGTCATTCTTAGAGGAGGGCTTCTTGGGGTACCAATAAAAGAAACTGTGAAATAATAATTATTCTCTTTGATAGATTTGTGCAATAATAAGATGAAAGAGGCAATGGCAAAAGATAGGAGGGTTACCAATGATGATCCCAAATGAAGGAAATACAGATTACCAGTGATATCTGACAAATAATGCTAGGCAGATTTTCCAGAAACATTCTGCCTTAATAAATTCATCTCTATTTAGTGAGCAGATTTGAGTAAATTTATGTGTCTTAAAATAACTGCAGATAACATATTCTTTATCCCAGCATCTTAGTTTATGTGCCCGATGTTAAAATAATGTGCCACTTGATAAAATAATAATAAAACAATCCTATTGAAAAAGTAAATATTGAATTGTATGTTTTCATCTCAGTAACAGATGAGGTTGGCAATATAGCCATAGTAGGACTTCAAAATCCTACATCAGGCAATAATCAGATAAATCATCAAGAATAGCTTGGGCTACTTTTACTAGTTTTACTTTTACTTTTTACTACTTTTACTAGCAGCACTGAAATTTTAAGTACCTTAATGATATCTACATTGATTATTATTTGCTATTAGTATATCAATGCAGAATTATTGGAAGCATGTCATTTTCATTGTTAGGTTCTAAAAACAAGCAGGAAGACTGGAATATTTATCTAATTGATGTATTTGATTTATATAGCCATTCTATTGAGCATATAACTCAGATTAGTATATATAATTGAAGTACACCATAAAACAATATAAAAATAACATATAAACAATTAAGTGCTGAAAAACAATTCATCCAACAAGTGACATCATTCCAAAACTCAAGGCTTGAAAAAAATATGTAGATCTTTATGCCTTCTGAAAGTCAGGCAGGGTCTTGACTGAATCTTAGCAAGAATATTGTTTAAAGGTCAGGACCAGAAACAGAAGGCAAGCTTCCCAATTACACTAGAAGACATTGAGGGAGAAACTGGACCTTTAATTAAGTATTGCAGAATTTATATTTGGTAAAATTAATGTATTAATAACATTTTTGAAGTGGGAACATTGACTCTATTCATGAATTGGCATGCAGCTAAAGAAATTGAGATATTGTGGAAACATAATGATGCATTCCATATTCACTGCAGAGATACACTTTGCCTATATATTAGTGAACTGAATCAGTGAATTTATTTATCTTAAAGAACTGCCTATTTCATTGCAGTGACTTGGGTGGTATACAAAGATTAAAAATTATCATAAATTTATATCAAAACCCCAAAATAAAATCACATCATCAACAGAGCTCATCTAAATGCCTATTTCAAAAGCCTGACCAAGAATATCTTTCACCAAACAGAATGGAAGGGAGGGAAAGAGAAAGGAAATTCTATCCTATAGACATATGTTCATGATATGTTCCAGAGAATCTGAGAAGAATTTACAAGAAAAGTAAAGAACAAAGGAAAGCCTGTTAACAGATAACAGAATTGGAAGGGACTTTGTATGTCATCTAGTCCAACCCTCCACCCAAGGAGGAAACCCTACACCATTTCTGACAAATGGCAGTCCAGTCTCTTGAAAGCTTGCAGTGATGAAGCTCCCACAACATCTGAAGGCAAGCTGTTCCATTGGCTCATTGCTCTCACTGTCAGAAAATTTCTCCTTATTTCCAGGTTGAACCTCTCGTTCATTTTCCATCCATTATTCCTTGTTTGGCCTTCAGGTGCTTTGGAAAATAGCTTGACCAACTCCTCTCTGTGGCAGCCCCTTAAATATTGGAACACTGCTATCATGTCTTCCCTAGTCCTCCTCTTCACTAGACTAGCCATGCCTAGTTCCTGTAACCATTCATCGTATGTTTTAGCCTCCAGTCCCCTAATCATCTTGGCTGCTTTTCTCTGCATTCTTTCTAGAGTCTCAACAGCTTTCTTATAGTATGATAACCAAAACTGGATGCAGTATTCTAGGTGTGGTCTTACTAAGGCTTTATAGAATGGTATTAGTATCTCACTTTATCTTGATTGTATCCCTCTGTTAAGGCAATTTAGGATTGCATTGACTTTTTTGGCTGCCACTGCACACTGTTAGCTTATATTTAATTGCTTATTCACTAAGATTCCCATTCACAGTTACTGCTATTAAGCCTGGTTTCACCCAGTCTATATGTGTACTTTTGATTTTTCTTGCCTAAGTGTAAGACTCTACTTTTCTCTACACTGAATTTCATTTGGTTAGATAGGGCCCAATGTTCAAGTCTGTCAAGATCTTGAGCCTATCATCTAGGGTGTTGGCTATTCCTGCCAACTTAGTATTATTCGCAAATTTGGTAAGTTCCCCTTCTATTTCTTTAAGTCGTTTATGAAGATATTGAAGAGTACTGGGTATCAGCCTCTACGATGCTTGGTTGTTTTCAGCTGCCATAATAACGGGAGGGGGGAGGTATTATAGGTATTTGGGAGGGGGGAAGTGAGCTGGTGGAGATGTCTCATGAAAGGGAGGAAAATTCTCACTATCTTCGCAGCAGCTGCAGAGAGTGTTGATAGCAGTCAAGGTCAGCCGTTCTGGCATACCAGATTGATGGGACCATCTGAAGAAGCACCCCACATGACACCTTGGGGAGATGTGGATTGGGCATTCAACTTGGGTCCTTGGGGAGAGGGATTTGGGGATGCTTTCAATATGTAATTTTCATGCCTATTGCTTTCTTGCTTTCTTTTCATTGCATTCAGTTCATACTCAATAAAAGTCCCTTTTACTACAAACATGGGGTTGGGGTTTTTCTTTCTTGAGTTTTGAACAGAGGCACACCTGACATTAAGCAAGGTCTGCTTTAACAGCTATCCTGGAGAAAACTACCATGGGGGCTGAGCCAAGAATATCTGACCAAGACGGTGACCAAGAGGACATGGGAGCTGGTGCAGCAGGAAAGTCTCGGAGTAGATGTCTGAATTACGGCTTGAAGGAAAGCCAGTCAGAGCCAAGTGGTTGCTGGATGTAGGAAGGATGGAACCTCTAGAGGAAATCCCCCAATGGGTGACAGTTACCAGATGCCGGTGTGGAGATGCTGCTTGGCAGGAAGAGGACAAAGAAGACCTCCTGCTGACCCAAGCCCTGCAGCTCCTGAAAGAAGCCTTTGAAAGTCGGAGAGCCCGCGAAAGGTATGCATTGCCAGAACGTGGGGAGACTGAACACCCGGGGGGGGGAGGCTTCTGCAGGCACAGAAGAGATTCCTAGAGCTCGGTCAGAGAGAGCACAGGCTGCTGGAGCTCAAGCAGTGGCTGCAGCCCAGCCCCCCCCATGGGGGGGGGGTTTAGGGCCCCGGAGGCATCGAATTCCAAAGATTCCTCCACTTGCAGTAAAATATGGAGGGGATCCCAAGGCTTTGGGATTCTTCCTAACCCAAGTGTGGAATCACATGGAGGAGTATGGAGAAGATTTCTCATCGGAAGCTGCCCGCATGAGGTGCATCACTATGGCCCTGGAGGGGATGGCTGCTGATTGGTTGGTGGGCCTCCATAATGAGAATTCTCCCCTGCTGAGGAATTACGACCAGTTTATGGCAGCCCTCCGAGTGCTCTTTGAGGACCCCCTGTCTGAACGGAAGGCTAGAATCAGAATGAAGTCTATAAATCAGGGGCAGAGATTGGTGGCTGAATACACCCAGGAGTTTTGCAAGCTGGTGCGCCACATGAGAGAGTGGTCCCAGGAGGCCGTGATGGAATGCTATAAGGATGGCCATAATGAGGATGTCTATAAGGATTGCTGCTCCTAAGGGGCCCCTTGAGACCTGCAATGCTGGTATGTGCTGGCTGCTGATGTGGAAATTGACCTGGCCAGAGATCGCTACCGTGGGGGCCAAGCTTGGAACAAGCCTTCCCCGTCTCCACAGAAAGAAGGCCCCAGGGTTTCCAAAGGGGGGAGGGTCAGCCTCTAAGCCTCTAAGCCTAAATCCAGTGCTTCTGATGTGGGAAGGAGGGGCACTGGGCTGCTGATTGTTTCTCCAAACTCGGCTCTAAGCCGACCCTTGCTGGAGGGAAGAGAGCAGACAAGCCTCCAGCAAAGAACTGCGAGAGAGCCCTGAAGCGGGTGGAAGTCTTTGAGTTCGCTCCCCCAGGCCTGGGGGAGTTGGGAGCTCCAACCACCGTGGGAAACAGCGAAACCGAAATCGACACTGACAATGACCCTCTGATAAGTCACATGGGGTCCCCATGACCATCCCAGTAGAACTAAGAGTGCCATCATCCAGTGCCCAGGGGAAGATGCTAGCCCTCTTAGATTCTGGATGCACTAGGTGTGTCATCAGCCAGAGGTGGTGGAAAAAATGGGACTGAGACTAAAAACAATGAAAGTGCCCATCACATTCTGCTAGTTGGATGGATCAGTAGCTGGGGGGCGGGGGGGCGGGCAGCCCACTTTGTGACCAAACTGGTTGAGATGTAGATGGGGGACCACCGAGAGACCTTGAGCTTCATCGTGGCCCCTGGTATGGAACGATCCCTCTTGCCTGGACTACCCTGGCGCCAAAAATGGAACCCATAGGTGAATTGGAGGAAGGGATGGTTACACATCCGCTCCACCCAACCGGGGAAAGAAGGGAGAAAACCTTTTTCCATGACCAAAGCTGTGAAGGAGCTGGCAGCGGTGGCGAGTGAACGCATTGCTGGGGAGGAAAAAATCCCTAAGGAATATTGGGACCTCAGGGAGGCTTTCAGCGAAAAGGCATCAGATGTGATCCCACCTTATTGGCCTACAGACTGTGGCATAGAGATCCTCCCGGGAGTGAAACTCCCTAAACCAAAGATCTATTCCATGACCCCTCATGAGCTGGAGAAGCTTCAGAACTTTATTGATAAAAACTTAAAACAGGACTTCATCCAACCAGCTAGGCCGCAGGTGGCTGCCCCAGTCCTGTTTCAGGAGAAAAAAGATGGCTCTCTTCACTTATGTGTCGACTACAAGAACCTGAACACCATTTGCGTAGAAAATGTTTACCCACTGCCCCTTATGAAAGACATGTTAGTGCACCTGGCTAAGGGAAAGATTTTCACTAAACTGGACTTGAGAGAGGCTTACTACAGAGTTCGAATTAAGGAAGGGGACGAATGGAAAACTGCCTTCAATTGTCTCCTGGGTTGCTTCCAGTTTAAAGTGCTCCCTTTTGGATTACAGGGAGCCCCGGCAGTGTTCATGCAATTGATTAATGATATATATGAATATCTTTAAAAAGGGGTCCTGGTCTACCTAGATGACATTCTTATTTACATGGAGACCATGGACGAACATGTGAAACTAGTGCAGTCAGTCCTGAAAAAGCTCAGAGTGGACGAATTGTATGCTAAATTGTCAAAAAGTGAATTCCATCAGAATAAGATTAACTATTTAGGCTATTGCATATCAAATGAAGGGATAGAAATCGACCCGGAGAAAGTCTGGACAGTCCTGGAGTGGGTGCCTCCATGCACCCGCAGTGCAGCTACAAAGTTTCTTGGGGTTTGCTAACTTTTATCGTCAGATTATCCCCTCGTTTGCACAAATTGCATTACCCATTACCAACCTTCTGAAAACAAAGGGAGAGGCCAAGCCAAAACCTAGCCAGCCGCTCGAGTGGACCATGGAATGCCAGGCTGCTTTTGAGAAACTGAAGCGACTGTTTGCCGCCGAGCCTGTTCTAAGACACCCCGACACGGAAGCCCCTTTGGTCTTCCAGGCCGACGCCACTGATGTGGCCATCGGGGCAGTGCTACTTCAAACCAATGCTGATGGAACTTTACAACCCTGTGCCTACACCTCCTGTAAATTTATCTGAGATCGAATGGAGATGGGCAATTTGGGAGAAGGAGGCTTTTACTTGAAAAGTTCTTAAATATTCAGGGAGATATTCAGAGATGTTTCTACCTTAGAAGGAAGGGGAAAGAAGAGCAGGAGAGAGGGTAAGGAGGGGAGGAAGAAGAGAGGAAAGGGGAAAGAGGAAAGGAAGTAGGAAAGGAGAGAAGAGGAGGAATGAGGAAAGAAGAAAGAAAGGAGGAGAAAGAAGGGAAGGGAAAAAGGAAAGGTTGTAGTAAAACAAAAGAAGGAAATGGTAAAAGAGCAGACCTGAACAAATAATTAATTAATTACCTAATGGAAGTTAAAGAATAAGATGAACAAACAATGTATAAGGATGGATAAAAGACTGTACATTTAAACATGCTGATGAAAAATAAAAATAAAAAACTTTTTTTTTTTAAAAAAAGAAATGTTTCTACCTTGAAAATAGCCTATATTGGATTGTATAGCCCAGTCAAACATTAGGAGTTTGTCACAGGAAATATGATATTTTTTGTTAGTAATAAAATGCTTTATGAAATTTGCTAAATTTCAGTTCCATAGGAGTCATGAATTTTGGATTTTGTATTGGACAAAACAATTCAACAATTTTGGATTGTTTATGTTAGCCTATTTCAAGTTTTTAAACACAAAAAATATTTTGTTTTTAAAAAATTTAAAAAAGAGAGTTTACATAGTTTATACATAAGTAATGTAAGCCATAATGTAAGCCATGTATATAGCAGAGGATCTGATTTAAGAATGAAATTTATCATTAAAACAATTATGCCATTGTCTAATGTAATATGTAACAAAATGAAATAAAATTCAAAATAAATCAGTGATGGCATTAGTACAGGATTGCATTTGGAGAGAAGCTTAATTTGTCCTGCATAGTTATTAGTTATATAGTTAAAACTATATATAATTTTATGGCAGTGGTTAATAAATATATTTATCCAATATGATATTTTATTTTCAATCAATTAAAATGTTAGCTAAGATTTTAATGGGATTATAAATAATTGCAGAAAACGAAAAGTAGGTCACATAGACAGATAAATTTTAAAAAGATAAGAGAGGTATAGTAGAAAAAGAATATTCATCAATAGATGTGGCATGAGCCAAGTTTCTAAAGTATAAATAAAAATAAAGGAAATTAAGAGATATATAATATAAATGTGATGGAGTTGTTTATGGTTCATTGTGTTTTGCCCATCCTAGCAAATAGGCTAACTTAATAAACTATGGTTCTGGTAATTTGGGCTAGTATGTTCAAATACAGCTAGTGATATTCTTTGTAGTAGCAGTGAAAATTGAGTATAAAAGAAAATTGCTTCTATAAGGTCTACTGCACTAGTGTTACAATAATATAATGGAAAAGAAGTAAGTTAAACCTATTCTTAAATAAGTTACAAATTTTAGTATATTGAATATTCTTTTTCCTCTTGCAGGTGAATAATCCTTCATGATCAAGAAATTATTAATTTTATAGTTTCAGTATTAATTATTGAGCTATCTTGATTCTATGGAGTAATGCTGAAATTCCAGGAAGCAGTTAAGCATGGTATATCATTTACACCTATTTCTATGCACTCGAAAACACTGATTGCAGGAAGATACAATATTTATAAAAAACTTGGACGTGGAAGTTTTGGAACAGTTTATCTGGTTTCTGACAAGAAAGCAAAAGAAGAACAATTGTAAGTGTTGCCTAAAATGAATTGACTTAAAATTGCTAATATGTATTTTTGTTTAAATATTGCCTTCTGAGAAAATGGTAGAATGGAATAATATTTATTTATAAACAACATTTAGCCAATTCTCACAGGTATTAAGTGTTTGCAGCAGGGGTGGGTTCTAAATTTTTTTACTACTGGTTCTGTGGGTGTGGCTTATTTGGTGGGCATGGCTTGGTGGTCATGTGACTGTGTGGGCGTGGTTTGGTGGTCACGTGACTGGGCTGGCTTGATGGTCATGTGTGGGCATGGCTTGGTGGTCATCTGACTTGGTAGGCGTAGCTGGGTAGTCATGTGACTGGGTAGGCGTGGCCAGCTTGACATCACTCATGTCAAGGGTTATGGTTAGGGTGCCTGGCCTCTCCTCGCCTCAAAGGCCTCAATGAGATACAATTTCTCTGTCTATTTATTTACTACTACTGAACATCCAAAATATACTATTTAATCCTATGTACATATGCCATATGTGTATATACATATTACATAGTATAGTGTATAGGCACACAAAAAGATACATTATTTACTGTATATACTGTATGTGTATGTACACACACACACACACACACACCTCTTCTAAAACTATACATATTCAACCTCACTTACTACATTTGGAAAAACACACCCAGAGTCCACTTTCTGCCACACATTTAACTTCTATATATTTGGAACATTACACACACCTTCAGAGGTTCTTCCCTAACTTGCACATTACTGTTAGAGCCAGGAGAGATCATGGATTGAGTAAAATGTGGTGAAACTCACTTAACAACGCTCTTGCTTAGCAACAAAAATTTTGGGCTCAATTCTGGTCATAAATCAAGGACTATCTCTGCCTTCCTCTGCCTTGTCCTAATAAACTCCTTCTCCTTTCTGACAATTTTTCTCTCTGTTAGAGGCACCAAAATAATACAGGCGATGTAAGGTTTCCTGCTGGAGCAGGGGGTTGGACTAGATGGCCTCTAAGATCCTTCCAGCCCTAGATTGCTGTCGTGTTTCAAAGCGTCTTCTGAAGCTAAGTCTAGTGCCAGGGTTTGTGTTCCTTCCTTCCTCTTCTTTCTTTCTCTCTCTCTCTCTCCCTCCCTTCCTCTTCCTTCCTTCTTTCTCTCTTTCTTGTCTCTCCCTTCCTCTTTCTTTCTTTCTTTTTCTTTTTCTTTCTCTTTTTCTTTCTTTCTTTTTTCTCTCTCTCCCTTCCTCTTTCCTTCTTTCTCTTTCTTTCTTTCTTTGTCTCTCCCTTCCTTCCTTCCTTTTTCTTTCTCTTTCTTTCTCTTTGTTTTTTCCTTTGTCTCTTTTTCTTTCATTCTTTCTTTGTCTCTCCCTTCCTTCCTTCCTTCCTTCCTTTCTCTTTCTTTTTTCCTTTGTCTCTTTTTCTTTCATTCTTTCTTTTTTCCCCTCTCCCTTCCTCTTTCCTTCTTTCTTTCTCTCTTTCTCTCTCTCTCTTTCTTTGTCTCTTTTTCTTGCATTCTTTCTTTTCTATCTCTCTCCCTTTTTTCCCTTCTTTCTCTTTCTTTCTTTGTCTCTTTCTTTTTCTTTCTTGTCTCCCTTCTTTTTTTCTCTTTCTCTCATTTTCTTTGTCTCTTTTTCTCTCTCTCTCTTTCTTTCTTTCACTCACTCTCTCCCTCCCTCCTTCAAAGTCTAGGAGAGTGAGACTGGGAGGCCTGAGAGAAAATGCCTGGCCGTGGTGGCGGCAGCAGCAGCAGCAGCACCCAAAACAGGAGCTTCAGGCTGTGGCAGGCGGAGGCAGGGCAGGGTTCGAAATGGGAGCTTCAGTGCCCCCGAAATTTTTCCTGCATGGCTTTTGCTGCTGCAGGCATCGGCGGCGGTGGCGGCAGGGAGTCCTGGGGTCAATGGGGAAACCAGTTTCACTTAACAACCATGTTACTAATTTACCAACTGCAGTGATTCACTTAACAACTGTGGCAAGAAAAGTTGTAAAATGGGGTAAAACTCACTTAACAAATGTTTCACTTAGCAACAGAAATTTTGGGCTCAATTGTAATTGTAAATTGAGGACTGCCTGTATTTAGAAAAAAAGATAAAAATAAATTTCCAGATCTTGTGCTTTTATTTAAATCTATAATGCATGCTTCTCTTAGAATGCCATATATTCTTCCAATTGATACAGTTCATTAATTATATTGTAAAGTTGGAAAAGTTTGTGAAAAATACAGCAAAGTTTATTGCTAAATTGGAGAAGAGTACAATCTAGAATAGTTACATTTAAAAAAACAGTATGCAACAATAGAGATATTTGTAAAATTAGACATGGTTTATATAAAGTGTTCTGCCTCATTTCAAAAAAATATAAATGCACAATGAAACTGAACAAGAGACACAGAAATCTGAAGAAAGGACTTCCTTAACAGCATAGCCTGATTCATTCATTTTCAATTGTATATTTTAATTTTAAATTTTATGGCTAGTTTTCTTCATGCATCTAAAAAAGCTAGTTTGGTGTAGAAGTTAAGGCATCAGGCTGAAAACTGAGGAACTTTGGAGTTCTAGTATTTCCTTAGATACAAGGCTAGCTGGGTGACCATTGGCCAATCTTTCTCTCTTAGCCCTAAAGGCAATAGCAAACCAAATCTGAAAACATTCAGTCTAGACAGTCACTTATCTGAAATAGTATAGGTTCTCCTGCTTTAGCAGGGGGCTGGACTAGAAGACCTCCAAGGCCCCTTCCAGCTCATTCATTCTAACATTGTCAAGAAAACAACAGATTGTAGTCCAGGCAATTGCCAAAAATCAACATTAACTTAGGCAAACACTTTTCTGCTTACAGAAACCTGCAGTTTAGCACACTACCATTTGATGGAGCCAATGTTCTGTACAATAGTAAAGCTGACATTTCTAAGGTGGCACAGCAGTTTTTAACAAAAATGATGTTCAATCTTTTTAATATTCAAATTACTCTTTTTTGCAGTTGAACTAAATTACATTGAGGGAAGGAAAAGCTACAGTGTTATTTCTGCTTGAATATTAAATGCTTCGGAAAATCTTACACTAATACTTATTTTTGAATTTAAGAAAATATTGTGTCATTTAGCAAAACTGGTAAAAGGTAAGAATTGTCACATGGATTGCTGAAAACCCTGAGTTATTTTAACTCAAGATCCATTTTGCTAAAATATTCCAACTATTGTTTTCAGGAATGCCTCCTCTTTTATGACAATCATTAAAAATACATCTGAAATTGGTTTTCTATATTATAATATAGAATTTATATGGTGCTGCATGTATTCTATTTCAGCTCCTATTAGATGTCAGAACATGATGCCTGCGTCACGTACAGGTAGTCATCAACTTACAACACAACAGAGCCCAAAATTTATGTTATTTTTGAAAAGATTTTTTTTATTTTTAAACAAACATACATAAAACCATCTTCAATTGCAAACAGTGTGTCGGTTGGTTACAAGTCTTTTGTGCATCATTCACCAAATTCATAGCTTACAATTTACAATTTACCTAGATTCTCATATCATCGACCTAATATATATCTATATATTGTTATCCTCGTTAATCATTTATTTAACTATGGCTATTTCTTCCCTCATTATAATTGAAAGTATTCTAAGATTTGAGTTAATTTTTATTATAACATTCATTTCATTCTCTTGAATCTATCCAATAATAATACATCTATATGTTATATTTCACATAGTTCTACAGTTCTTGTATTGTGAAAATCTCTACCTTATTTCATTTCCATATTTTTTTATCTAACCATTGATAAAATAGGTCTCATATCTTATAGTATTGTTTATCTTCTTGTTCTCTAATTTCAAATGTCAATTTGCTCATTTCAGCACATTCCATTATTTTCTTAATAACTTCATCCTGTGTTGGTATTTTCTCATTTTTCCAATTTTTAGCAAACACAATCCTAGCCGCGATTAATACATTCACAATCAAATATCTCAGTTCTTTATTATATATTTCAGGTACAATCCCCAATAAAAAAATCTCTGGTTTAAAATCTATGTGTTTTTTTGTCATTTTTTCCAGCCATGTGTGAATATTAGTCCAGTATCTTTTGGCTTCTGCACATGTCCACCACATATGGTAATATGAACCTGATATTTGATGACATCTCCAACATTTTTTGGATTTATTCTTGAACATTCTGGCTATTCTCGTCGGGAATAGATGCCACCTGTAAAACATCTTATACAAATTTTCTTTATATGCAGTTGACATTGTCATTTTATAATTTTGCGACCACAATTTTTGCCATTTCTCTAAGTCAATTCCATGTCTAAAATTTTTCCCCCAAGCAATCATTGTTTCTTTAACTTGTTGTTCTTCCAACTTAACCTCTAATAAATATCCATATAGTTTTTTAATTATGCTTTCATCAGGACCTGTTAAAATTTTATCTGAATTAGTCAAATTAGTATAAAAACCTTCTGTCTTTAAATCTATATCGTATCTGTATTGTATTTGCAAATAAGAAAACCAATTCTTCTTTATACTTTGTTCTTCTAATTCTTGCATAGATTTAAGTTCACCCTTTTCATTCAATAATTCATTATATCTTACTATTTGTTCCTTTCTAAGTGTTATTGAATATGAAAATGCTTCAATAGTTGATAACCAGACTGGAGTTTTTAAATAATGTTGTCTTTTGATCTTCTCCCAGTTTAATAGCAATGCCTCAGGTATAAAATGTCTTCTAAAATACTCTGTGTTTTTGTTCCCTTATACCATAAAAAAGCGTCCATCCCAACAACAAATCATGTCCTTCTAAAGTCAATAATTTAGTATTTCTTAGCATTAACTGTTATGTATGTAGATTTTGGGTGGGCAGTTTGAATTAACTGACCGTCAGCTGATTGGCTGATCACCCCAGCTGCAAGGTATATAAAGGGAGTTGTTTCCCCATGTCAGTTGCTGGGTTCTCACCCTAAATAAAGAGCTGTTGTCACTCACTGCTTGGCTTGCTGCGTCCTCATTCACCCAATTTA